CTTTCAGGGCTGCAGGAAGCCCAGTTTGTTTCATGCAGGAATAAGGTAGACCAGATCTTTTAAACAACTAACCTCACTTTCTAATACTTTCTAGTTGTCAGAGGGAGGAAGAGAGCCTGTTTTGCATACAGCAGTTCTACAGTACATACTAGTACCACTACTAACAGTTAAAGAAATCCTTTCCTTGTTGACTGAGTAATTACATGTACTCTGTATATTACAGTTGGGCAATATTGAGATTCTGTGGCTGTTGTGACCATTAAGCAAAGCACATGCCTAATTACAGCAGAACGAGAACCAGAGCCCTTATACTCCCTTGAAAGCAGTTCTGTTTGGGTAACCAAAATGAATTTTTTTGTATCGTCTAAAGCTGTCTAAGCTGTGCTAAAGAGCCTCATAAATGCTTGGGAAATGAAAAAAAAAATATTTGAAGGGAAAATTCCCTTATATGGTCCAAAAACATAAACCAAAGCTTCGTATGAGAATAATTGTAAACTCACCAAAGATAAGTTTAATACTTTATTTCTGACTCATAATTCCTTATAAGAACCTGAACTGAAATATTAAAGAAGGAAATACTGAAATATTTCTAACGTAAATCTGATAAACCTCTTTGGCATGCAATCATTTCTGCTGTTCCTTTAAATGAATACTTATTAGAAGCTGCAGAAGGATGCAGGTTCCTGGTAGAATCCTAACCAGGTGAAATGTTTTTCAAAAGCCTGAGTGACAAGGTCCTTCCCTTACTGATAGTGTAATTTGGAATATGGAGTAACTAGTCAACACTACAAAGAAAGGAGGAGAAGACAGGTAAAATTAAAGATACTTTAAAGTCATGTCTTTTCAGAGGTTGCTTATACTTCTGAGTGTGCAAGCTCTGCATCAATTTTCAGACAGCAGTGGTCACATTTCTTTCTGAATGCCCTACTTTAATTTACCTGCTTACTTCACATTCTTTATCTTACCACAGTTATTTTGCAAAACCCATATTATTAAAAGAAAAAAAAAAAAATCAAATACCTTCTTATATGAGGCTGACCTGAAGGTGACCAAGGACTGCGGCCTCTTTGATTTACAGCTTGAACCATCAGCCTGCCCGTACAACTTACTCTGCCCTGTTATGATGATGGAGAGAAGAAATGTTAAAAGACTTGAAACATGTAATATAAATGTTCAACCTGATCTGTTCTTTTTTTTTTCCCACTTGTTTTATCAGTTTCCAAACTAACACAGAACAGACTGGAATGACTGCGACTATAATACGGTCATAGTTAAAAAGTTCTACCTGGAACTTTTTCTTTAAAAAAAGATTGTTAGTGCCACTGGCAATTAAGTTTTTAAAACAGTATATTGACTAAGTTATTGATGTGGGTGAGAGGTTTCTCTGTGTATGGCAAATGGATGGAATGACAAGACAACTAGTTCAAGATCTTGAAAATGACACATGGTGGGTGTTGGCAATTAACAACAGAGCTGCTACCTCCAAAGTGGATTGATCTGGTGGGCCCACAGCTAAAAAAAACCCCATTAATATAAAAGGCAAAGGAATTTGGCAAGTACTTAACAGGTCCTCTCTAAAGAGCCCTCATTTGGGGAATCCAAGGAAGAAGCATACAGTTTTGCTGATGGATGTTGGCCATAGTTCAGTTGCCTAAGGGTATTTTCAGTGAATGATAAATAAAACATAGGCTCTAGTGTATTTGGTCCTCTTTTTTCTTTTTATTTTACAAGACAGGTTGTCCACCACAAGCACTAGTCATAACAGATTTTGGATAGGCCTGCTTGAAGCCAGAACTGCCAACATTCAGGGCTCTCTGGAATTCACTCTGTAATGGATAAAAGCCTCTGGTTGTCCCAGTAAATAACAGCTCTGCCCCCTGGGCTGGTGGCAGTAAGGCAACATCCACATCAGCTTTGCAGTGCATTTCAGGTCTAAGCTGTGAGTTCCACACTCAAGTCTGTCTGCATAAAAGTGGCAAATATTTTTATCACAGTAGTTGAGGGGTTGCAAATAGCTGTTCTTTAACAACTGGCCAAAGCCTATAAAAAGCCAATTTCGTTGGGCTCACAAGCAGCTTTCAATTAGCAATGACTTTTGTGTTACTTCTGGACTGTTAGAAATTAAGTCTGTGTCCCGCTTCTATTCCCATAACCCACTTAGTCTGCAAGAAAAATCCTTGCATTAAAATAAACCATTGTGCATGACCCACAGCAATTCCTTAAATAAAAGCTTTTTTTCCCCCCCCCTTGTGTTACAAGACCATTAAAGACATTTGGAACAAATGCATTTTTATTTTGGGCACCACTGCATATTAATATTTTTTCTGGCGGGTGATGAATACGCATATTTTGGGATAATTTCTGCATATCTCAATACATGATGGCATCACAGAAGGAAACACAAAGGGCAGTAAGGAATTTGAATGGGAAAGATTAAGCAGGAAGCCAAAGATTTGGAAAAGTCATGGGATGAAAGGGAGGGAAGCAATGAGTGGGAAGTAATCAATGAGAAGATGCCTAGAAACTACAGGAACTCCAGCCTGAGGACTGTGGATGCATAGTGCAAAGAAGAGGAGAGAGTGAGATAAAAAGAAGGAAGGTGAAAAAAAGGACTTGACTTGAGCCCATACAGCTCACAGAAAGAACTCAGTTAAAGGACGTGAGCCATAAATAAAGACCTAAACCAGGCAACGTTTTGTGTTTGTCTAGGCCCAGGGTCCATTTGCTCTGGATTAAATTCTGTGACAAATTTTACACCAAACCCCAGTGGTGTGTCAGAACCTTAATTCCAGGTCCCTGTGTTTTACATTGTGGGCAGCAGGGCCTGCCCTGTTAATTACCAGGGGCCACTGCCAGGGTCTGTCAGCAAGTCATTTTACATACGTAAATCCTGTTATATCAGTCCAGTCATGAGATGGCACGAACTGGCAGAGCTTTAATGAACTGAATCCTTTGCTTTAATAAAAACAATTTCTATAAGCTTTTTCCTTTGTAGTTTGGTGATTCCAATAACAAGGACCAAAACACAGCAACAGCCTAGCAAATATCTACCAGTCCCTGAGAGTCATGGTGTGGGCTCCCTTATATTTATGTATTTCACTTTCTCAAGGAAAAGTTGCCAAATTTGCCTAAGTTTGTGATAGCTTTGAGATGTGGACAACTTTCCATTATAATTGAGAACACTATGCCAAAATTATTTCCACTCAGGATGACTTAAAAGAATTGGAATTCAGATCTTTGAGTGTGAAAGGCTAGTACATTAACTCACAGCCCTTCTTTGCCTCCATTGTACTGTTAAATGCACAGTAAAAGCAAGCAAATAGTAGGAGAGATAAGTATGTTTGCTTGGGAATTACACTGTAAAAAAAAAAAAAGAATAGAATGGGCTTGGTGAAACACAGATGTTTTGTTTAGGGGAGCCAGAGGAGGATGCTTCTGGTTCTTCTCCAAAGAGGGGAAAAAAGCACAAGCACAGAATTTTACTGTGTAACAAAACTGCTTTTTCAATCCCCAAGCTAGGACCCACACAAATCCACCTCATTTTAGTACATCTAAAAACCCACTAAGAAAGTAGTGCCATCAATGACCAGAACTGGAAACCTAAGTCAGTTGTGTCATTTAATGAGCATTATCCAGAATAACAAATGCTCAAAAGTAGGCTGTAAATATTCAGGGACAGAGTACAGTGCCCAAACACAAAGGCAGTTTGTTCACCAAGTTCTCCAAGACTTTGGATCACACAGTAAACAGGGAAACTTTGTGCCTGCACTAACACAACACTTATAGGAAGATGAACAGGAATCACTTCTCACCTTGAGCATATATACATTTTTAAACCTGCTGTGAATTTCCACAATTTAAATGGTGCCAAGTATTGTAACAATGGTCATCTAGGTGTAAAAGCTCCCAGCTTGAACAATTTCATGGCCTTATGCGCTTTCATTATTTTTTCCTTTACTTATATATGTAGAAATAATATTTAAACTACCTAAATTTAAGAACTGCAGTTTGTAGAAAGAATCTAGCCAAAAACTGCTATTTGTGTGTTGTCTCTATGTACAACCCCATACATTCATAAGCCCACTGCAGTATGAGCAGGACTGACAAGCTGAAGAGCGAGGCAAAAATGGCAACATCATGCTAAGTAACCTAGCAACACACATAACAGAGCACAACACTCCTGCTTAGATTAAACTCTGTCTCAGTGCTCCAGTTTGTTATTCTACAGTGTGATTCTGCTTGCAGGCCTAGTCTTGGCAAGATATTTGGCACTACAGAAGAAAATAATTCGTTACATCCCAAAAGTTTTGTTACTGCTTTGGTTTCTCACATGCAAATCTTTCCCCTCAATTTGCTGTGGTGCAGGAAAAGTGAATTGAAAAAGTTATTTCAATAGGATGTGTGACCTGTAAGTTTAACTATCAATGCACTAGCGGGTTTTTGCTATATATGTCCACTCTTGCACTGGGTCTAGGAAGAACAAATGACATTATAAAACCAGTAACAGTCTGTCTTTCAGAAAAACAATATTTAAGATCAACACAGCTACGTAACAGTGCTAGATTTTTTTGCCTTACAGAATTGCAATCTGCTTAATGTAAACATGTTGAGATGTGATATACTTGCACTCATTTCAGAAAGTTGGCCTCAGTCAGTGAGTTGGGTCACAAAAGAAAAATTAAACTGCAGGACTGTGTTACATCTGCTAGTAAAGTGTATTTTTTTTCCCCTTTATGTATATGTGCTATCCATGCTCAGTTAGGATACTGAGATGTTATCAGCTGAAACAACTAGTGGAAGAGTAATTAAAAAACAACACTCCTCCCCCCTGAAACCTCAAACCATAGAAAAAAAACTACTGCTGAGTTGCTAATCTCTTGGAGATAGAAAGGTCCCACCCTACTGATGCAAGATGAAAACAGAAATCTAACTTGCATACTTACAGTGACTTCACCATTTAATTAAATCATGCATATGTAAGATGAGCTAGTTTTCTGAAGATTTATGTCCAGAAGGATATTTGCTCTGGAGCCAAACCTTCATTTACCTGTGGGTTAGCAGCCATAATAGTGTAATTCCCATCATCATCCAGGGTGGAGGCTGCAGTATGCAGTGAGCAAGTTCCATCAGGTTCTCTTTGAATTCGGTAGTGATCACTTTGTTTAGAAATTTGCTTCCCATCTTTAAACCAATAAATCTGCAGGAAAAAACAAGGCACAGCTGGTAAGAGGTGGGGTGCTCATTGTCATCATTTCTTAATTAATAGCACTAACGAATCTTAACTGCTGAAAAACTCTCTGGTAAGTATTAAAAGAAAACTGTTTTGAGCAACTAGTAAAAGTGCAGAGCCACACTCCACGAGCCACTTTTACTAACAGTTACGGATTAGCAATTTTTCAAAGAGAAAGAAGGCAGCGTGAACATTTACTGATAAGATTTACGGGTGCATAAGGGGTGTACCCATCCCAAGGGCAGAACAGCAGCTGAATACTTCAAGAACTGAAAGTAAATGTCATTACAAAGAAAAGTTCTGTTTCAGAGAAGATTGGCAATTTTAAACTTATTTCACTTAAATCTGAAGAAGTTGCAGAAAGAACTTAAGAATGCTATTTCTCTCTTTTCAGAAAATAAAAACATAGACCAAGGTAATTATAGGCTTAATTAATTCAATGGCAAATAAAATAGAAGCAATGATCTCACTGTTGAAGCACCCGTTTTGTCTCATACCCGTTACGCTGACTGGACTGGACCAAAATGCCAGAGAGGATTCAGCCGCTCACACCGGCAGCGAGCAGCTCACTGTGGGAATGGGCCAGCTCAGTATAATGACATGATTGAAACAGTGTCACCCTGATGTGACAGGCATCTACAGAGATGGACAGCTTTGCAAAGTAATAGGAAATACTTCAAAGCAAGTCAGCACATAAATAGCCTTTAATCACTGTACGCCAACACCAGCATAGTTCCAAGCTGTACAGAACAGTTACATTATCTATCAAACAGAGGTATTTTCCATTACTTTTGATACATAATTTTATTCTCTGGCTGACCCAAGATCTACTTTCAGTGAGCCAAAAAAATGATGTATGCAGAATAACACAGTAATCCATGAATTACACCAAAAAAAAAGTTTTAATGCCTCAAACTTGAAGCAAAAAATAAAATGTTTTGACCTAGCTTTTAGAATTTTTCTTTTGCTGTATTATAAAAATAATGCAAAATCACAAACTGAAATCTGCTGGAGTCCAAAGTAAAATGTTGTGTATGCATGAACACACACAGAGGAATATCTGAAAAATCTTATACTAGGCAGGCTGTAGTCAGCTGCCCAAACCCATATTTAAGTAGAACATTATTCACTTGTCTTTTCTGAAACGTGTACTATGCCATAACATCAGCTGGTGTTCAGCATTTCGGACACTTGTGCAGATACCCGCACCATTTTTGCAAGGTCAGCTCATATAAAATGCAACAACTGTCCTGGTCCTGTGACTGCTGGGACTATTTAGCAGTAGGAAAACACACACATTTCCTCAGTCGCATTCTTGAAGTGGGAATTTAGGTCTTAAGAGTGAGGAAAGGGTGCTGACTTTCTAGTAAAAACAAAGTGACAAAGCAAAGCACGATTCCATTTCTGATAGAGTTTAATATGCTGGGTTCTTTTTTTTTTTCATATGTGCCAATATTTCAAAGCTTGAAATTCACTCACTTGGGGGGAAAGTTAAGGATATACTCTTAAATTTCACAAAGAGACAATGGAGGATTTTTTGGAGGAAATGAGTTGAAATTTCCCTTAAAATTTATTACTGTGTATGATTTTTATATTAACAAGCATTATGTGTAACTCAAAATGATTTCATTTCCTCAATAGCTGGTTATACTTGTTTCCCATTTTGTCTGTCAGCAGCCTTGCAGAGACTCTGCGGTACTAACAAAAGATTTAGTCATGTCTTCTCATCTGCTGACAGAGCACTTACTGGAGATGCAAAAGATATTTGATCACTTATATACACATGCTAATGGGTGCTAAAGCAATATAGCTGCAAAAAATGAGTTTTAACTTGCATGCTTTATGTGTGTCATAATGTTGCTTGGAAATGTACTGCATTAAGCAGTAATTATTTAATAACAATGCACTTAGCAGAAATATCAGGAGGCATGCCAGAAATTATTACATGGAAATACATGCAAATATTAACTGAACCAGTTATCCAAACATCCAACATGTATATATTGCCCAATACCTATTTCAACTAAGTTTAAAAGCATTGGCATCCCTTATGAGCAGTAAATTCTTAATGTTACCTTTATCTGACATGAAGTTAATAAATAAAACACTACCACTCCAGGAGACAGTGGTCCTTGCAGTGAAGTATTTTCTTTCTAGGATACCTTTTCAAAAATGTACCATTAAACTATTGAAGCACTGAACACTGCATCTGGATTGCTTTTAGTCACACCAGATTTTCAGAAACCAATGTGTAATGACTAGAAATACAACGGAATACATAGCACAAGAAGGGCAGCACAGGCATTTTTAATCACCAAGAATTATATTCAGCCATGTGAAGAGATTAGCTGAGTTGGTCAGAGCATGGTGCAAATAATGCCAAGGTTGTGGGTTCAATCCCCATACGGGCCATTCACTTAAGAGCTGGACTCAGTGATCCTCGTGGGTCCCTTCTAACTCCACAGAATATTCTGTGATATAACACATCCTGTGATAACCTCTTGTATGGCATTGTCCTAATTCTGAAGAGAAATATTCCTTAAAAAGAAGTATTCCACAGTCCCTCCTGTAGCACCACAGGTTTCTCATTTTAATGAAAAAATAGTTTTACATTACACCAAAGGTTATAACCAAAAGTAGACTCAGATTTAAAAAGTCATATTTATGAAGACAGAATTTGCACACCAGTGTTCAATTTACATGGCATGTTCAGGGGAAAAAATAATCAAGCCAATAACCCTGCTTAGAAAAATCCCTTGTAATGAATGCCAGATTTTAGAAACACTACAGTTCTTCCCAAAGCCATTCCTTGGCAGACCTGACAGAATACTTAAAAGGGAGGAGCTTCAAGTTAGTAAATTATTTCCAGCTTTTCATTTGCCAAAGTAAAGAATTTATTCAGAGGCAACACTTCCAGCTTCAACAAATGACAGCAGAAAGGCAGCCCTCAGCCATCGAGCGCTTCAAAATTGCTGTCTTGGCATACTACAGCAGATGAGGGGAAGATACAGCTCTGACATTTGCAAAGACCAGCTAACAAGTAGCCATGCAACAGGACTGAAATTGGTTCCATCCCAAGCAACTTAACAAATTGCACAAAGCATCTGCAAGTGACTGGAATAAAGGGCCATAGTTCCAGGTGCAAGAGCAAATCACTTAATGTGCATGCTTTGACGCTGAAGGAAAACAGAATGTTGTATCTGAATCACGGTGCATTCGCATCAGATGCTCCTCTATAATACCGCGCTTTAGGGGAAGCACTAAGAATGTGGTTTCTTGGCTGTGCAATCCCTATTGCCCAAGTGAGAGAAAGGAGACATCCTCTTTCATCTGTCTTAAATCAGACAGAGAAACTACACCTTAATTGGAAACTGTGAAAATTAGGGAATGGCAAAGTTGACTAAGGATGACTCATAATAGGTCATCTAGCAACTTAGTCATAAGCCTCAGGCAAAAAGAGTACCTCTGCACACACTGCACCTCTATCATCAACAGACCCATTTGTCTTCCACCCTTGTTCAGCACAACAGATTCTCAGCTATGGTCAGCTCAGAAGTAATGCTGGACATCAAGAGTTTGGTTTCAGTCAGACTGGGCTAATCTTCCCAGTGTGTGTCTTCAGTTTGAAGTAGGAGTGCTTTTTTGATATAAGTATAGTGATCAATCCCACTTACTTTGCAGTGGTTCACATCATGTTGTGGTCTTGGAGCACAGAACTGGATTCCTTTCAGATGACACTGAGCCAGAAAATGCGCTCCAAGAACACATCTAATGTGGTGCATCTGCTTCAGTCTGTGGGATGAGATTAGAGCCTGAAGTAAAACCTCCTGAAATGTGTTCAAGGATGAATATATCATTCTTCAGATTTGCTTCTTCTGGTCTGCAGTACTTGTTAATGTAGATGTAGCCCTAGTTCTCTGTTGTTCTTTCTCTGCTACCTGATAATGTCCTTTTTTTTTTTTTTTTAACACTTTGTACAGTATCATACATGTATATCATTGGGCATGTAAAGTCATTTGCATTTATTTCTGTTCAAAATCCTACATACCCGTAAAACTTACACTAGATGAGAGATTTAGATGTGGCTTCTGCTGTGAGATCTTGCGTAACAGATAAGAGATCTTTGATCTTGTCTAGGAAAGATAAGAGCTCCTATCCACACGAGGTCACTGTAAGAGCTGCAAGGACCTCACGGGGAAGGCACTGTCTTTGGCAAGGAAGTTGAAGAAGCTGCTGTTGTTTGCCTGTTGCATGAGTCAGTTGATTGCCAAGCAATTGTTAAAATGGTTATATGCAACCTACACAAGAAAGGCATTCTTCCAGACTACTGACATCATGGTACTTTTACATTTGCTACAAAGAACTGCTTCCCAAGCCCAACCCTCCCTCAGAAGCTGATCATTAAAACCTCACCATCATGTCTCATCTTGCTGTTGGGATATATGAGAACTTGTGGTATTTTATTACGCCTTCCTCTAAATTCCAATAAAATTTAGTCCTGTTAGCGTGTGTAGATGCAGAAGAATGCAGAGATACCATGCTGGCTCCTAACTAGAAGCAACATATTTTTGCATTAACATGTTACCGTGCCTGAGCTAATTACACATGCGAGCGAGATGAATGCTTTTGGGACTACCATGCCAGCTCACATGAGGCTTTCTAGCATTGCACTGAATTTTTTGATACAGATGTATCGTGGAGGTAACTCTGAAAATGACAGGAGAATTGCTTCCAGGTAAAATAATTGCGAGGAAGCCTCAGGAGGGAGTAACTGAGAGTAG